AATTGATTCCTTGATTCATTTAGGCCGTTAGGATCTCACTTGAGCAAATTTAGAAGTCGATTAAGTCAATTTTTCAAACAGTTGATGTAACGTTTCGAATTTTGTAATATTGTTTAATTATTAATATATATGTGGATTGTCATATGTGGTGTGTTGATTTACATGATGATGATGTGGATGTGTGTATGTAACCTTGTTAGGATACTAATACGTGTGTGAAAATATGTATATGTTGATTTGTGGTTGAAACTGGACTGTTAAAATAGGGTAAGTGTATGGTGCAGGATGTTCTTGCTGTAGCGAGAGGACCCTAGGAGGAAGGCGTGAAACTGTCGCCTTCTCGCTGCAGCGAGAGGTCCCTCACTGCAGTAAGAGAGCAGTAGTGAGGGATGCATTTCTGGGTGCAGTCTCGCTGTAGCAAGAAGGTCTCGCTGTAACGAGATTATGAAGAAACCAGGATGAAGTTTCTTCTGAGATTTTCACTGTAGTGACAAGGGGCATCGCTACAGGGAGAGTGTCTAGCTGCAGCGAGAGTGTCTCGCTATAACGAGAATGTCGCGACTAGAGGGTTATTTAAAGTGGTTAGGATTTGAAAAATTCATTTCCTATTTCTCTCTTCAAAATCCCTTCAATTCTCTCGACCCAAAACCTTCACCGATTAAATTGTCTCCAAAGTTGTTCGGGAGTTAGATTAAAGATTGGAATCGTGTTGGAAATGCTTGAATGTAAGTTTTAAAGGTTAGGATTTCGGTTCCTCACTCGCATTCTCTGTTTTCTTGGTTTTCCTTGGTTCTCATGGGATTCTTTCATATATTTAGGACGGAATTCGTGTGAGAAGCACTTCTTTAGTTGATTTCGTGTATGGGTCTTCAATCCGAGGTAAGGGGGACTCTACCCTATCTCATTATGTTTGAATGCCATGTAAATTGCTATACAATGTCATGTGGATAGCTTAGAATATGTGTGTTTGGTAAAATTGATTGATTGTAGTGAAATTGTGGTGGAATGATTGAATAGAGTATGGTGTAATGAATGTTGAATAGTGTGTATGATGGAATAAATTGATGAATGTGGATTATGTTAAAAATATGGTGTGTATGAAATTGTTGTGCGTTAAATGTAACACGAATAAATGTGGGCATGTGTGCCGTGAAATATGAATGAATGTAGGCATGTGTGCCGTGTATGAATATGAATACTATATGTGGCTGAAAACGTGTGAAAGGGCATGCTAAATGCGGTTGTAATTATGCTATGAATTGTTCATAGATACACTGGAGGTATGGAAGATGGAGATGGTAGAAATAACTTGGGGAAGAAAGAGTGATGGTGACACCAACAGTGAACGTGGGTGCACCACAAGTCACACACTCTCCTCCTGACTAGACCTCTAACTAACACCTTTGTCGAGCAACTCGGGACCGTACACGTGGTATCCGTGAGGCAGGAGTAATTGGTGACTATTCATGGTGTGAAACTATGATCACAGTGTGACTACGTGCAGTGAGCGCACGTGCGTGTGTGTGTGTGTGTGATTGTTGTTGGTGCAGTGAGCGCAATAGTTGTGAATTGCTTGATTACATTGCTTGATCGCCTAGAATGCCTTATGTTCCACTTCTACTAATAGATGACATGCCTTGCCAAAAACAACCCGATAAGGAGATATTCCTATGGATGTTTTGTAGGCGTTTATGTAAGTCCAGAGCTTCCTCTAAGCGTAGAATCCAATCCTTTCTGTTGGGTTTGATAGTCTTCTCCAAGATTTGCTTTATTTTCTGATTGGAAATCTCCACTTATCCGTTAATTTGAGGGTGATATGGTGTGGAAACTTTATGCATAACCTCAAACTTCTGAAGTAAGTTAGCCATTGTGCAATTGTAAAAGTGTGATCCCTAGTCACTAATTAATGTTCTAGAAAATCTAAATCTGCAGAAAAAAATATGTGACTTTATAAAATATACAACAACACAAACATCATCAGTACGAGTGACCTTTGCCTCCACCCACTTGGAGATCTAGTTCACTGTTAACAAAATATAGGTATAGCCAAATGAAACAGGAAAGAGACCCATAAAATCTATGCCCCATACATCAAACACCTCACAGAAAAAGAAAAGTAGTTGGGGCATCTCATTTTTGCATAAGATGTTCCCAGTCCTTTGGCATCGCTCGCATGTCTTACAGAAGTTATGTGCATCCTGAAACATTGTAGGCTAATATAATTTATAATCTAAAATTTTTCAAATTGTACATTGAGGTCGAAAGTGTCCACTACAAGCTAAGGAATGGCAAAATCTAAGCACAGACTCAAACTCAGGTTCGGGTACATATTGTCTGATAATCTTGTCACTGTACATCTTCCACAAGTTGGATCATTCCAAATGTAGCATTTGAAATCACTCTTTAGGTTGGCAACTTGAGTTTTGGAAAAGTATATAGGAATTTTCTTGGCAGCCAAATAATTCACCAAGTCTGCATATCAAAGACCACGCCTTCCAATGTGGTAAAGTTGCTCATCTGGAAAAGTGTCTCTAATGGGGAGATCCTCTAGTGGCTGCCGAATTATGTTCAAATAGTCTGCCACTAAGTTTTCTACACCAATTCTATCTCTTATCTCAATGTCAAACTCTTGCAGAAGAAGCATCTAGCGAATTAGTCTTGGTTTAAAATTTGACTTCTTAAGCAAGTACTTCAAAGCTACATGATCAAAGAAAACAATTATTTTAGAGCCAAGTAAATATGAATGAAATTTATCTAAAGCAAAAACAATGGCTAAAAGTTCTTTTTTTGTAGTGGTGTAGTTTTCTTGGGCTTTATCCAATGTGCGAGAAGCATATGCAATGACATGTGGTTGCTTCTCCATTTTTTTACCAAGGATAGCACCAACTGCAAAGTTTGAAGCATCACACATAAATTCAAACAGAATCTTCCAACTCGGAGGCTGAATGATAGGAGTAGAAGTGAGGCGCCTCTTCAACTCATCAAGGCTTCATTATTTTCTTCTAGACATGGGAGATCTTTCATCATATTCTTTTAATATAACAATTTCAAGGCATGAGTGTTGAAGTAGCCAAATCTTTTTTGCCCAAGCCATGCAATATCAACTTTTACTTTCATGGCAATGTTAGTGCTTTGTTTAAACCTTATTGGAAAAGTTCTATTTCTTTTTTTTCATATTTACTTGGTCAATCTCTAACTTTTTATTGTCATATATCTTACATATGTCCCTTTTGAAGTGGAGAAAATAACTTTTTTCCATGATTTGACTAATACTCAAGAGATATTTTTTTTAGATTTGAAATTAGTAAGACATCAGTAATAAGTTTCATACATTTCTTTGTTTCCATCATAACAGTGTCTTTACCTTTTGAATCAACAACAGTATTGTTCCTTATTTGAACTTTCACTTTGCTATATTTTGATATCCTTGAAGATGCTTACATCTTTAGTTAAGCGATTGCTACAACCACTATCCAAGTAAATATTTTCACTTGTTTCATTGCTAGAATTTTAGATAAAATAAAAATATTGTTGTTTTTTTATCATACTCTTCAACAAATTAGCTTGATCACACTCTTCAATAAAAATTGACATTATAATTTTCTACGATACCAACATTCTTTTTTAGCATAATTTATCCTCTTACAAACGTCATATGAAGAATATTTATTTTGATTATTTTTAGAGAAATTTTAGAATTCATTTTGTTTCTATTAGTTTCTCCATTATTCTTTTTTCTTCATTCCCCTTTATTCTAATATCGTAATTTGAGCTTTGATTGAGAAACATTTTTAACTGAGTCCTCATCATGCCTTTTTAATCTTTTCTCATAAACTTCAAAAAGACCTTACTAGCTCTGTCATTAATAGAGTAGATAAATATTTTATTTGCTCAATAATTGTTACAATTAAATTATATTTACGAGAGACAATCATTAGTAATTTTTCAACAATTTTCTTATCAACAATATTTTTTTATAAGCTCTCATTTGATTAACTATTTCTTTTATTTTAAAATAATAATCTTTTACTATCTTAGACTCTTTCATTTTTAATAATTCAAACTCATATTATGGAGTTTGGAGTTTTATAATATGTACTTTTTTGCTTCTTTCAAATTTCTCTTGTAGTGTAGTCCATACTTCTTTAGTTGTACTAGCAACAATTATTTTTGAAAAAATTATGTCAATCACAAGTTTATTGTAGCATAAACAAGGTCTTCAAAGTTTTTTACCTATTTTCTTTCAATTCTTTTCATTAAGGGATGAAATGTCTATTGGTTTAACTTATTTTACAATATCCCATAAATCTTAGTAGAAGAAATATGTTTTTATTTTTTTGTTCTAAAAAGTTATAGTTTTTATCATTAAAAATGGAGACTGAAAGAGATGATGGTTGAGTAATATTAGTCACAAGATTTTTTTTTTTTTTTTGGAAAGGGTTTATTATTATTTTTTAAAATGGTATGATAATATTTGTATGTTTAATAGATGATTGAATGTAACTCTAATGATATAGATGAATTTTTTATGTAAGTGATAAGTAAAATTGTTAAAATATATTAGTTAAATAATTAAAAATGATAGTAAAAAAAATTTAAATAAAATCCTCAAAATAGAGATTTGATAATTTGTTAACCTCTTTTTTTTACACTTTAATATCATACTTATTTATTCCTTACATTATGTTTGGATGATTTAACATTATAATAATATTTATAATATTTTAAAATTATGATTTCTCTTGCAACTAAAAAGTACAAAAATAGATTTTCTTAAATTATTTTTAATATTTTTTTTAAACTATTCTAAAAATTTCTATCAATGTTATAGTCAAAGTCTTGAACAGTATTCAGTATTTATAAAGTGTTAATTTTTGTTCTATTAGTTAGGCAAAGACTGATTTTTTTTTCCTTCAATTTTAGATGTTAATTTTTATCTTATTCATGTGATTGAAGCAAATTCTGAAGGGAAATATTAACTTGTTCCCATGATAGATAAAGTTAGGACAGAAAGTCATTAAAATTAAAAAGTGACTACAAGACTTGAAAGGCGCGCTGCGCCAGGACCGTTTCTACAACACCATAATAACCATTGTTACAGGTCTTATTATTCTACTCTTCTTCCGTCACCTTTCAAATTAAACGGAACCATGCAACACATGGCTGGCAAGATCGGCATCATTCACCAAAGCATCACTGCTACCATCAGGCAACTTGGAAACAAAAGACCAAGAAAGCACGTCATGCGTTTCAGCGTAACCGTCATCAAACCCAGTGGTGGCAGTGAACCCAACTCTGACCCACTCAGGAAGAGCATTGGGCAAGTCCACAATCTCCGACACGATGTAACTGGTCCTACGCGAAGGATGAATCAACGATGCAACCAAGAGCTTGGTGGAAGGATTATAGGTAATGAGGATTTCAGCCACTTGACCATTGGCCAGACCCCACGACGCTGTTTTGACGGACTTAATGTTGTTGACATCGATTCCAATGTGTCGTGTTTTGGGATCCCAGTCATTAGAGTAAGTGTCGAACTCAACAGCGACAACCTGGTTGGACCTGTTGTAGCCGTCGCTGTTGAAAAGACCAAGCAGTCCTCCACCCTTTCCAGGTTGCGTGTTGGGTGCTGCCAGAAAAAAGGCAAGGCCTTCGGCGGTGGTGGTTTTTTCTTGTGCTTTGATGACTACGGAGAAGGAAGTGACGATGCTTGCCACGTTGCCTGTGCGTTTGTCCCAAAGGTGGATAGGGGCAGTGTAGAGGACGCGGCCGAGAGAGTCCTGTTTTGGGATGCTGTTTTCGTCCACTTTGGTCAGTTGTAACTTTCCTTCTGGGTTCACTACGGCGTCGCCTTGGAACCTTAGGTTGGGTTGCTTGGGTTCGAATTTGGTGAAGGAGAAAGAGGTGATTTCTTCTGAGTATGCCTTGCTCAACAGTAAGAGGAAGATGGGGAGAACCATAGAGAGTGAGTTTTTGGTTTGGAAGATGGTGGTTGCCATGGCTTTTGCTTTGACAAGATGTGGTGCACTCAGAGAGAGTCTGTGTTGCGTATTTATAGCAGCGAACGTGACTGAATGTTTAGATTTATTGATCACACTCAAAATGATAAGACAAGAAGAGTAACAATAAAAAATTCATTAAAAATTATAAAATTTATTTAAATTTTATTCTTTCTCATTATAAATCAACGTTTTTCTCTTGTAATTTTTGAGTTTTCAATAAATTTATGTTAATTTTTTAAGTATTGATGTTGCTGTCTATATATTAATTTTTTTTCATAATTTGTTATAATAGTAAATATAAATATTTTATTAAAATAATTTTTTAATTAATAAACAAAACAATAATAACATCATTTAAAGAACAGAATCAACATTGTCTAAAAAGCTCGTGTTAACACATGGAAATGGACGTTGTCTTTGTGATTCAGAGGTTTTTTTCAGATATTTACTTAAGAGGTTCATTCTTAATATTTTATAGCGTCGGCCAGAACTAAGGTTCATCATTAAGCAACGTGTGGTGTTCAAAGTTCTGTTGTTTGAATAGCAATTTTAATCAACAACATTGTATTTTTATATTTATTAATAATGTATCGGTATTATTAAATTTTTCTAAAAATTAAACAAAAGTTAAAAAATATATAAATTTTCTAAATTTAATAAGTTTTATAATTTTTAAAAATAAATAGTTAAATTATCAATAATCAATATTCTATTATATTAAATAAGATTGAATTAAAATGATAGAATTCCAAAAATGAAAAATAATAAAATATTTTAAATATAAATTTAAATTAAGATTGAAATTAGAAAAAACTAATACTCAATGAATGAAAAGTTACATGATATAATAAGAAAACTCTTAAAATCACTCCTATTTTAAAAATTAAGATTCATAAATTATATAGAGATAGATTATACTTGTTCAATTTTTTATCCATATCACATTACCAAGCTAAAAGGTCTCTATGATGTCTAAGAAATGTTGTTCAAAACAATATTTCTCATTGTTTAAACTTTCCTTCCTCATTTTTTATGCAGAATTTGTTTATATTAAGTTAGAAGGTAGTAATTTTAAACATTTATCAAATTAATGTTAAGAAGAGATTTTATATTGAAACATGACCATGATGCAAAAATTAAGTTTTGAAGTTAACTAAACTGGCACTTAGTATATATTTGTTTATTTGAGAATACTTAATTGGACGAATTTCCAATCTCATGAAACCCCAATTGAGTGAAACAATTTTCGAAACAGAGAAATGCAATTTCAAAAATATCAACGGATAAACAACGAGAGTTCTTTAATATTTGCATGCTCTTAATCTTGCCCTTTTAATTTCATGCCTTCGAAACAATTTGCAATAAGATTTTCAGTTCTCCGAATGTTTAATGCTCTTTTAGAAAATGCAACTAAGGCACTTTTGTCTTTCTTCATTTATCCATTTTATATTTTAAACTTGAATGTAATATGCATATCTTTTTCGATAAAATTATATACTCTTCTTATTATTTCATAATCTACATATTTTTGTCTCTCTATTTTTTTAGCTAGTCAAGTCTATTCATTTTAAAAAATATATAAATTCAGTCTCTTATTGATTTTTTTATCTGATTAAACTTTCAAAGTTTTGAAGGATTTATAATATAATAGAATTAAAACATGAAATCATTTCAAAATAAAAAATAGTGATAAATTAATAAAATTTAACGAAATGTGAGATTAAGATTTAAAGAGGCAAAAATTTAAGATTTTTTTTTTATTTTGAGAAAAAATGATATTATGATTCATTTTTTTTAATAAAAGATAATTTAATTGATTTAACTCGTAAAATGTTTTCATAAAAATAAATTTTAAAAATTTTAAATAAAAATAAACTTGTCGGACCTAAATTTACATAATTTTAAAAAATAAATAAATTAATTAGCTTAAAAAAACTTAAAAGATAAAATTAAACGTACCTCAAATTAGAGAAAAAAGAATACAATTAAGTCTAAGAAGAAAATCATATAAATTTTAACTAACAAAGTAAGTTTAAAAAATTTTAAAAACTATTTTTAACATCCGTTCTTTTTTTATTAATCATTATGGGATTTTGTTAGACGCGTGGAACACGTGGTTTTGGGGGCTTCTATCTTGTGTCTAGTGTCCATTATTGTTTCGTTCGTACCAATTTCCAGCAATTATTGATGACGAGTATATTAAAAAAATAAAGTTAGCTGCCACGTGTTGAAATATCGCCCGTAATTCTTCACCACACAAATATTGCATACTTTTGGGCTAAATATATTAATTACACTTTTTAAAGGTATTTTTGTTTTAAGACAGAAAATATATGTATGAGAGAGATAGTTAATAAACTTTTACATCAATGATCAATTTAAATCAAATTATTTTTTCTTATGAAAGATCTTATAGTTTATTTAGCTTAGAAGTGTAACACCTAAAAAATATTTTTTTTTAAATATCGTATAATAGATTAAAATTTTAGACTTAATTATCAAATTCCTTTTTTAATATAAAAATTCATTAAAATTAAATATTAAATTTTGAATTTTTACACTAATTACTAGCATTTTGTAAATGGTGAAATTTATCAATTCAACTCTTAAATTATGTAATATGATAATCAATATTACAAGTACCAAAATTTGTAAAAATTATATTTATAAATAGTTATAATAATTAATATTTTTTATATTATCATGATATATTAATTATAGGAAATAAAATTTAAAGATAGTAAATGAGACACTTTTAAAATTTCACTAAAAATATTATGAGTAGTTAATATATTAAATTAATTAAAGAGTAAAAAGAGAGATATCAAGTTGCTTGTAGCTTAGTAGATTAAGAAAGATAAGATAGAAGAGGAAAATGCACATTTATAGATTTAAATGACCAAAATATATATAGTTTCATTCATTTTTATGCATTCATTCTTTATTTGAATAAATTTTATACTAATTATGCTATTAATTGTCGCAGTTTAACATGTTAAAGGCTCTAGTAAATTATTAAGGCATTTTTAGTATGAATTCATGGAAAAATAGTTAAGTGGTGTGTAAAAATCGATTACTGGGCAAGTATATCCATTGTTAGAGTAATATTATAAAAAAAATAGAGTATCGAGTATCGTATCCACAAGAACTGTTATTAGGAATTACTTCCTTAATTGTGCAATTGTTAATGTCTATGAGAAGGAAATTTTGTTCATAAAATTGCTAAAAATAGAAGAATAATAAATTAGAAGGAACAAATTTCTTATGAAAATAAATTATAGAAAAGTATGACTAAAGGTATTCAAGGGAAATAGGCAAGTATCTAGACTGTAAATCCTCCTAAGTGTCCAAATAACTGAAATTCTTCTTCAACTACTTAGTTCCAAACCCTTATCGCTGCAGGAAATTTTGAATTAAACCAATACCTCTCTCAAGGATAATGATTCCTAACCCTCGGTTGATCAATCGGAATCTCTTCCTTAATTAATACCCCTAGGTTGCATTAAGTTCATTATGAATTCCATAATTAGGGTTAATCCTAACACAGAAAACTTACGTCTTTCTATCTCTAGAAATAAATTCAAGTCCTTTTAATTGAGCAATGTTAATTTCATGCAAGAATTTTACTCAAATTCAAACAAAAAAATAAGGTGGAAGACAATTGATACTACTTTATTAAACCCAAGAGAAGAAAACATGAAATAGCATTAATTTTTCAAACAAAGAAATGGATTAGTTTTACCTTTGACAACAAAGAATCAAATTCCTGATTTTTTTTATTATTGTTATTTTTATTTTATTTTTCAAATTTTTAGAGGGACAGTAATTCTTAAACATCAAATTGTTCCTTCTTTTGCTCTCAACCTTTGTGACTTCAGACAAAACTGAATAAAGACCTCTCTACCATTAGCTCTTAAAATTCAATTCAAAACTTTGAATCCTTTCACAAGGTGTTGTTTAATTCTCTTCACTTTGAGCCATGATCGACTAACAGGATGCATTTTATGCTCCATCCCAGTTAGCACAAGGTATTAATGGAAATTCCACCCCTTGCTTTCCACATCAGTACCTCAAACAATTTCGAGGTTCTAGGATGTGGTATCTAGACATTGCCTGCAATCCACATTCAATTAGATATGCTTCTATGGCATGCTCCTTTTTCTTTTTTTTTTAGTAGAGCCCCAATTTTTTTTTAGATTTTCCTGGTTTTATTAATTTCAAACATTTTAAAACAATTTGGCATAGATTCAAGGTCCTCAATTCAGAAAAGTCTAATGATACTTTAATCGAGAAACAATTAAAAACACAATTCGAATAACCAGAATAACTGTGTGTGATGTTTATTTATTTATTATATTTTCAGGAATATCATCTCTAATGCAACAGTAAAATTGACTCAATATTGCTCGAGAATAAAACAATAATTCAGTTCAAACATCTATAATTATCCACCCCACATTGTAAGATTTACATTGTCCTCAATCAAATATAAGAATTAAAGTGCAACTGAAACTTCCCTGAAAAGTAAATAAATAAGCAAAGAGTTGTGGGAAGCAAAACTAATCTGGGATTCAATTAGAGAGGAAACCTGATTACAATTGATTTTTAAGGAGATTTAGCTCAGTTCAAAATGACAAGAGGAATTGAACGATCAAAATAATGCAATAAAGAAGCAGAACTAATAAACAGACAAGCAATTTAAATCTTAAAAATAACATAAGTAAGAAAATTCAACAACTAATGCTATCCTAATTTCAAACAAAACTAAATTGTTGCACTAGCATCGCTTGAGTCTTCATTATCTGTACTGAGGAAGTGATTAGACAGAGATGGAGATGGGTGGAGAATTGTCGATGCTGAGATGCCAAAGTGACTGAACAAAGTGGGAAAGTTGGCTTTGACTGTGGATTCCAGTCTAGCCAAACGATGAATGCAGTCTCTGTGGCTGCTCCTCAAAGACCGCTGGGATGCAACGATCTGCTGCAGCTGATGGTGAATGGGTCTGGGATCTTCAAGAGGTGCAGGGGGACTGTC